GCCAGGTCATAGTCCGTAACCCCGTTCTTGGGAGGTAAGCATCTTAACCTCTTGATCACCCTTACGTTAAAATGATCGCCTACGAAGGTAGTAACTTAAAATAGAGGGCACTTACGACGAACATTTTTATGTAACATAGAGAAACGTAAATGTTATAATACAAAATTCACCCTTAACATTTTACGGTTCTATTATTAGAAACCGAATCAACTTACAAAATTACCAAACTTGAGGCGTCAAATGAACGAATCCATATTTTGTTAATTGCGAACATTCCATCTTTGTCAGTACTTTATGGAGGTCGGAAATTTTAATTTATGAAAAATGTTCGCTTTACAATACAAACAAAGTTATTATAATTAAAAGCAAATATAAATAAATTATTTAATGAACTAAGGAGTAAATATTGGTATCGCGAAATAATAAAACAGTGCCTATGAGGTGATGTAACTGGCAGTCAGTCTTAATTAAGCAAAACGCTTTTTAATTCAATTATACGATTCACGTTTTCCACTGCGCTTCATGTGTAATATTCTCTTTGATTGAAAATATTTGTAGCTGGAACGTGTGGTCAGGGTAAAATGCCAAAAACCTTTTTTATGACATGGGGTCGGTACCTTCAAAAGCGGCCTAGATTGGATTCTAAGGAGTGAGGGATTGTTACTAAACCTTGATGCCTGCTATAAGCATCTATGGTTATTAGGTCTTCCTAGGCTCCTCTAAATATTATTAATATATATACCCAGTAACAATGTTTGAATAAATTGCATCGTTCATGATCGTTGTCGATATTAAATACATTCAATATTTTCGAGCAAAAGACATTAGGCTAATCTGACCCGGTCATCGTGTTCTGACGGTCAACGATTACGTTACTATGTCAGTCGTCGTCAAATCGTAATTTGTTCACTTTGTGAAATACTCCAAATAGTTCATGAAATGGTCGCATTTCTTGATTTTTTTACCTTTTTTATTATATGATAAGTGGACGAACGAGCAGACGAATTACATGACGGTAAGCAATCAGCGCCGCCAATGGATACCTGCAACGAGTGCGCTGCCGACCTATTGAGGATTAAGGATTTGAAAATTTTGGGATTAGAGGGGAATTGGGGAAAGGCAAGGATTGGGCAATATTTCAATATTGCATCAGGATGTGAGCAACTCAATTTGACCAGATCATTAAATCGTCTACGTACTTATTCTGATTTAGGTAATCATCATCCAGTTAGCTGAATTGTAAAAATAGATTTATAACAAAAATGGCACAGGTGACTAAATGGTTTTCAGGTTGTCCGCCCCAGCAAGCTTGGTCGCCAGAGTCACAGTTCTAACCTAACCTAAGCCAATATATCGCAGAGTACCCTAAAACACGACTCGGTAGACAGAAGTAAATAAACGCCTTAGTGCACCTCGTTGAATTAATTCTCAGGTGAACAAAGGACACCGCTTGAGTAATTCATCTGGGTGAAATCACCAGCGCTTAAAGCGCCTCTACCGGTATTAATGAAACTATTTTACGCTATGATCAAATAAATAATCATGATAACTTCATGAAGTACTTAGTCGTTTTAGTTGTCCACATCGAATAACGATCTGCTTAAAACATATCATATTAAGGATTAATTAATCCTTAAATCTTTAATCCTTAAATTTTTGTAGTCATACGGAAATGATAATAATTACAGATGAAGATTTTACTAAATGCATTCTGTAAACCTCTCAAGCTTTACATGAAATGGTAAAAATGTGCGGCATAGCTAAGGCATATAACTTGACTTTTACAATTATTACAGAAATCTTCCGTGTGACTGCCGCATGGCTCGGATTCAATTCTTGTATTTAAATAGACCCGTGTATGCAACAAGAGATTATTTATTTAACAAAAATCTTTATTTAAAAAAGTAGCTCGGTTTCAATTGCAGTTATTATAACGGGCTTGTGCAACAACCTTTATTGTCAGTGGCTGCTCAGGGTTAGAACACAATTATCTCATGTCCTATACTTAGACATTAAAAAAGTACCGCGGGTAACTGACAGAGTCTATTAGCCGGGGTTATGTTTCCAAAGCCTCGAAGCGTGGCCCCGATTGCGATTGAGGAGCACAGCCGACTAGACTAAGTAAGGAACCTCAATCACAATGAGTCCGGCAAACTTGTTTGCAGTGATCCATTTTTGATTACAACTCAATAGTTTGCTCAGTTGGGCGGCGCGCGGCGTCTGATTGAGCTCAAACTCTAGTAAATTAATGACAGTTACGTAAGCGTTTCGTTTCGTATTTTTTATACGGCAAATTGAAGTTTATGTTTATATATACGATTGTTTTGTGGGTTATACAATAACAATAATAGCTTCGTTTTCATTCATGTTTTACTCTCTATCACTATGCTTATTTTTTTATAAGTAATCATCTTCTATCGGCATTCCCATAACACAATGCATTTAATTATGATTACGGTATTATATTAATCAGCCAATTAGACAATATCGATAGAGATTTTAGCAAGAAGATAATATTACGGGGCATTGTTAAGATACTCAGCCGTGCTTTGTTGTGTCATATCAAAATCGAAGGCGGAGGAAAGTTTTATGACAGGAGTCTATGAAACAAGAACCCCAACTGTAACTTGGAGTAAGGCGATCTCAGCGACTTAAAGGTGGAAATAAATCTTACCACCGCCGGCGACGTTGTTGGGAATACGGAAATGTTATTTCCTACAATATTAGTTACTTATATTATGTCAGTTTCATATATTAGTTTACAGTTTAATATAAGCTTGACATAGTGCAATATGAGCCGATAGGTACGTGAAGTTGGCTGCCGAAGTGTTGCATGTACTCTCTAGTATGAACACTGCACAGTTGCCTAGAAAAAAATACACCGATCCGCTGACCCAAAGACAGCTTGCAACTATAATATTTGCATAGATGTATTTGTTATAAAAGTTTTCTTAGTGCAATCATTTCTAACTCAAGAACAAATGTTGTGACACAATTTTGAAATTATGTGGGTGCGTTTACCAACTTACTAATTCTATACTTAACATATCCAGACGCAAAACAACTCATGAATAGCAAAATAACTATGGATAATATACCAACATCATTATCGTTTACATTAAATACGAAACGGTATGGAGTTCGCGGCCAGCTCGTTGTAATAATAAAAGCAAACAATCCGTATGTGAAATAGAAAGATGCACGAGGCGAAAAATTGCGAGTTAATTATGTATCGGTTCGGTGCCAACAAATGCGTTACATGTTATTATTATATACTACTATACAATTATACTTCCCACTATTTCTATTGCATGTATCTTGGGTAGGGAGCCTAGTGCGAGTTTGCTTTACGTTAAGGCGATAGACATGTGTATGAAGTTCGGGGTCCTGATTGGCTTGTTAGTTTACCAATAATCAGACTTCAGTTATGTATGTGATATCATATTTTTTATTTTTACTTATTTGAGTCAAGACTTGTCCAAGTAACTGTATCTACCGCTCGCGCTATTGAAGAGATATTTTCACGCTTTGTATGTTTTTGGAAGTCAAAGTCAAAGTCAAAATTATTTATTTCAATTAGACCCATACAGGCACTTTTGAACGTCAACACAACTTTAAAGATACAAAGTGTCAGTCTGTCGGTCAGTCCTCTTAGTGAAGCTATTCGCTCGTTCCAAAGTGTAGATTCCGATGGAGAAGAACGAGCAAGAAACTCCATGGTTACTCTTTTAAAATCAGTGTCACATAAACATTCTTTGATACATTATTTAGTTAGTTTGAATATGTGAGAACAGTGTAACGCGTGTATACAGAGAAACATAAAAAGAAAATAACCTTAAGGACAATAGACAGTCCGGAGCTGACCAGTCCCAATTGACGGCGCCCGTTCACGAGCATGACACGTAACACCAGCATCGCCCAACTCAACCATAATATAGGGAATCGAGCGATCCAGTGACCGTGCCACCGCCAATGTGACCTTTGAGTGAGCATGACAACTCCAAGCTGACATATGGACCGACATTCTGCTAGTCTAACTAATTTTAATAGGTTACAGGGCACTCACATTTACAAATTTATCAAGTTTAACAATAAAAATAGCATGGTTACAAATTTACAAAATCTAAGAACTTCCGTTCAAGCAAAGATCCACTGGAACATTATTTATATTCGTGTAGGTATATTATCCTGTGGAGCAGGACCAGCCCGTCTCCAAGCATCCTTATCCTCAATATAATCACTCAGTTTGTAATATGCTTTTTTACACAAAGTTTTCTTTACACATAATTTAAAATTTCTTTCATTTAATTGTTGTATTTCGCCTGGGATTTTGTTATAACACTTAACGCTGAATCCCATGAACGACTTGTGTACCTTTGCCAATCTAAATAATGGCTGACACAATCTATCTCTATGTCTAGTTTGGTAATTATGTCTGTCTGATACCTTATCAAATAATATTAAGTGTTTCCTAACATACATTATATTTTCATAAATAAACTGACCGGGCACAGTCATAATATTGATCTCTTTAAATTTATCTCTAAGAGATTCGCGAAGCCTTAGGTTGTAAATTGCTCTGATTGCACGCTTTTGCAAGACAAATATAGACTCAATGTCAGCAGCCTGTCCCCACAACAAGATGCCATACGACATAATGCTATGAAAGTAGCTGAAGTACACCAGTCTTGCAGTGTCCACATCTGTTAGCTGTCGGATCTTCCAGACAGCAAATGCTGCAGAACTCAACCGTCCTGCCAGAGATGTGATATGGGGCCCCCATTGTAGTTTTTCATCTATGGTTATACCAAAACAAAAGTTGAAGCACTTCAACTTTTGTTTTGAATTAAAAAAATAAGCGAAATCGATCCCTATTTGTCCATATACTATCAAAGGAAACCATAACGTAGGATGAAAAAGATAGTAAAACAGTTTCCACGATAAAAATAAAGTCACTCTCACTCAGAGCTAATCACGTGAGTTTTAGTCAATGCACTTACCTTATCCGAATCGGTGGTGTTCCCGCTGCCGAAAGACGCGAGTGAATTACGATCGAGATTCTCCGTCGTTTCATCAAGTATTGTGTCGTCCAGATCCCTACAAACAAACATTTCATTAATAACTCATTATATTCATTAGCCGGGAATAAGTCTAAGATGAAGTTTGCCGTAACCCCCACGCTCGGCAAGCAGCTTGGGGATCGGAATTGGGTCACCTAAAAGTTAGGCGAGTACTGCTGTCCGCCTGTCAGTTAGTTGTTCATTGCAGTTTTCGGACATACAAAACTCCGATTAACAAAACAAAAGAAGGTACAACTATTATCGACACTTTTTATTACAAATTACAAGAAAGAAAGACTATGTAGTATTTCTTTCTTGTTCTTCCAAGTCATACAAATTCTGGCTACAGCTAATAAAATACAACTTTTTTTCCTAATTTTTCTTATGTTTTTGCTGGCCATACCTGCTGGAGCGCTGAGAGCTAGCTGGTCGTCGCGCTGGGCTTCTGGGTGGCTGATGTAGAGCACCACTAAAGTAGGTTTCCTGATAAAACGAAATAGCGGAGTTGTAAATGGTTTAATCTAAAATAAATTACAGATAAGTATAGACACTAGCGTACTTCAGTTACTTTTCATAGCACACAAAAGAAACTAGGAGTTTCCCATAAAAAGGATAAAATACACCCAAACACGTGTTCCGACAATAAAGGGCATCATAATAAAGTTATGATATCATCATTTCATCCAATTATTGTCGCACACAACAATACCAAATTCCACGAAGAATCAAATATGGAATATAATACATGGGATAGGTATAAGATTTAATACCTATATGTAGGGCACCACTATCATAAAACCAAAGCTCTTAAAGCGTAATCCGATTATTATAGCTTTGTGTACAGCCAGGGTCGGATTAAAAGGTTTGGGACATCGACGGAGTAAAGGGCCCGAATACTTTTTGTGGCCAGATGAGAAATAATCCTCTTCATAATGTTTTACGGTGCTTATTCTTCTTATTTACTTTTGAAATGAATTTTTCAACGTTTTAATGGTGTTTGTTTTTTGTCAGAGTAAACTGATTATATTGGTGTACTTACAATATTATATTTGTATGCAAGTAACGTACCTGGATGACTTCTCGTAGTCGCCGAACCCACGTCTGCTTCACCTCAAGCGATGGCGCCTTCAGCACGATGCGGCAGTCAGAGGCCATAGGCTCTGGACCGGTCCATACTGAGAACTTGCATTCATCTCCCTCGATGTGTTCGGTCACACCAAGCTCCGAAGTCTAGACATTTATAGAGTCAATTACAATGCGGTAAGTAATCTTTGTTCAAAATTTGATTTGATACAGTATGGCTGGCATAACAGCATATTTCATTGCGGGACAAAGCTGCAAGTGTTGGCGCTTGTATTTAATGTCTTGTTTCTCAAAATTACGCGGTGCCGTTCTATTGCGACCAAAGCCTTAACTGGCAATCTAGTTAAACCTATTGTGACCTTATAATAAGACAATAGTACTATCAAAACCGAAACTCACCATGAACTTAGTCTTGTAAATGTATTTCGCCTTTCCATGGGAGTCCTTGACTTCTTTAGCGAGAAGGAGATGTAAGTCGAAGAGGAAGACGCGTCTCTCGCGACCTTTCTTGATGATCTGTCGTAGATCCCACACGTGGAACGAGTCCTGCAGGACAACCTCACCGAGACTGTCGGTGGGTACGTCGCACCCCTCCAGCAAGGACAGATGCATAGCGTCGTTGGCCTTCTTCGGCACCGACAACATAACCTCGAGACCGTCCTGATAAAAAGAAAAACAAAAGCTATTTACATTTTTTCCTCCAAAAATAACGACGTGTGCACTCCAGTTAAATGGAGTTACGATGTATATAGATACATAAATACATCAAGTGGTTAGATACTAGGAACTGAAGACGAAAAGGGGCTGACAATTATTAGAAAGATCATACATACGGTGAGTTTATGATATAATAATAATTATGGTAATCAAAAATACAGAAAAAATATCCTAGGGAATAATCTGGCCACGTGATAATGGACTAACCATTACAACTTGGCCAGATTTACGAAATTTGAAACTATTATTAACAGTTGATAAAGACCTATGTCCATTCTAAAGGTAAGCTAAGCTAACTCAGAATAAGCATCAAAGTGTAACTGATATAGGTACACAACACTAGCAGGAAAGTAGAAAATGTATACAAACATTTTTCAGAACTTGGCAAATAAAAATATTTTTGCTGGAATTATAATAATAATAATTGGTCATTAGCAGACACAGGTTATTTATACGCAATTACATATTTGGTTAGTATACAACATTGTAAATTATTACAAAAGCAAATACATTTTTTAATATTCGTATTATAAGCATTTCAAACTCCTATAGCCAATTTTGATACGCTTGATAGTTTTTAAAATAAAACGTTTGAGCATGTCGTCACGTCACCCTAAAGGAGTCATCTAATGTGACGTCATTTTAGTGTCATGTCAACTGTCAGTGTCAATTTAGTAGACGTAAAAGAATCATTAGGATTGTCATCTCCAGTCTAAAGTTTGTATATTAGAATAATAATTGTTGTGTTTGTGAGAGGTGGGCTGAGATAGTGCACACCTCTTATATAATTTACGATCTGTTTTCTTCGTACAATCCACACGATTACTGTGAAGGTTTTTTATGTTTACAAAATATTGACAACATACTTATAACGGTGTAACAACGTAATGAAAGCGGATTAAAAATCTTAAATATTAATTAAAATTTAAGGGGTACAAAAAAGGTCCACATTATAAAGGATTTAAAATAAATTACTGTCACACAATAACGATCATGCAATAATAAGAAATGAATTCGCGATTAATTGAATATTAATATGTAAGGGTTAATATTATATAACAAAAGAAGAGGGTTAGAAGATAATAATATTAAATAACTACGTAGACACGTGATCCAAGGCTAATCACGAATAAAAATAAACAAACAATATAAGGCAAATATATAACTCATTTATATTGCAACAAATATTTATTTACAAGCCGCAAATTCATATAAATTAATACATTATTATAATCGTACCCAGCACTACTGTCAAGTAATGGTATCCTTGATTCTTAATGGTACTGATGGTAAGTATTTTAGAATTAAAAAATTCTCAGTCATATTTATTTAAACAGCATAACTGTATGAAATTGCCCAGTGTCTGCAGGCAATCAGAATATCAAGCTCATGGATTATTGTGGAAAATTACAACAATACTATGATCAACTCCATCTATCATCAGAAAAAGCTGCACTCAGTTTTATATGATATAATAATAACTGTAACACTTGAATTAATATAGTCACATCTCCTCTTTAATCCCAGAAGGACCATGTTTTTAGAAACGCCCGCTAATTCTTAGTCATGGTATAAGTTGCAGATTGCACTACGTGGCCGTGGTAAACATTTATTTATTTATTTATTTATTTAACACTTTATGTACATATAAAAAAAAATACATACAAAGGCGGACTTAATGCCCGAAGGCATTCTCTACCAGTCAACCTCACGGGTGATGCAGAGAAGTGTTAACAATAGGTTCTAAACAAGCACACAAATGATTAAAAAGCATAGGCATATAAGGCGACATATACATATAATACAAAAATATAATATATGAATACAATAAATATAACCTACAAATACACATATAACATATAAATAATACATAAATAATATAATTAAATATGGGAAGAATAGATTACGAGTATATACAAGAACAAAAATAACAATACACTAATTAGTGGAATCTGTCAGTTTCTCTAGCAAATAATTGTGAACTTTAAGTTTGAAAGATAGCCGACTGGTTGCCGTCCTGATATCCGTGGGCAACGCATTCCACAGCAAAATTGATTTACAGTACGGGCTGAGTAAAATACCTTTTACTTTTAAAAATTCTTAGCACGACCCATATAGCTCGAGACCCTAGCATTCAAAGCTCTTCAGCCGAATTGCTAAAATATGGAACGTTTGGACTCCCTCGTTGGTGAAGTGGTTGTAAGTGTACTGTGTCGAGGATCACACGTTCCATTTCCGGAACGTATGTACTTTGCAGCGCTCTGGCGCCAAAACTACAGATCTTACAAAACAAATGTCTAGAAAGTCATGTTGGGAAATTGTGTCTTAATAATTTTGTATGTATAGGCTTAACTGTAAACCTGTTAGTCGCGAGCGGCTCTAATGGAAATTAGGAATGAGCAATTTTCAAAACTGCTACAAACAAAACTGACTAATGTTAGTGTACACAAATAAAATTCGCAGACAGCGACCATTTTGATTATCAATAGCTTGTTTCAACATTAAAATTCAACAAAGTATTAAATTAAATCAATCGTTTGTATTTAAGAACAAAATCAACATACAGATTCCTAACTGCATAATTTGGCAGTGAAATCATCATCAATGAGTGCCATGGTCACCATGTCATTCAACGCTGTTCAATATAAATAGATACTACATACATTTCTAATAGAGAGAGGGCCAATCCTGTTCGCTTTAGAATTTCCAATAAACTTCAACATGATCGATGTCAGCACTTCCACTCCCGACAAAACCATTACATTTTACTGGTATTTAAATGAACAATCACAAAACATGGAAAACGACGTGCGAATGCGTTCGATAGGAACCAACTGTGGCAAATGGGCGTACGGATGAGTCACGAGGAAAATATTGAACTAAATCTATTGTTAATTACCACTAAGTGAACTACTAGCTTAATCTTTAACAAATCCAACGTCCAATGTGTTTGAACAATACAACAAAATGTCAAATACTATGTAACGGTTACACACCGACGACGAAACCTCATTGGTGATTGATTTCGTTCCTTATACTGCCCTGAATCATCCAAGGCCAAATAAAAAGAGGTTTATTTTGGAATATTCCTCAAACAGTTCCAAATATGTAGTGACTCAGGTAAAAACAAGCAGTTTACTGTCAAATGTACGTTTTGTTATTGCAATAATATTCATATATTGTAAAAAAAACCCGACAAGGTTATATCCACAAAAGTGATTTGTTAGCTGTATCTTGATTATCATAATAGCAGCACACACACACAGCAATTTAGGAAAATAATAATTTTGGTCATTATGTTTGAAACAGTTAATGTGTCGCTGGTCGTTACTAATTAGTTTGTTGTACTGATACGGCTCTGTAAGCGTGATTGCGATGCGTTATGGCACCATTACTAGAGAAGTCCCCGGGTATTAAATTGTCACATATAAGCACAACCGAAGTGAACGCAATATACACTGGACTGTACAATCTCACACATTTATTCATGCATAAAAAACCCTAGAATATAACGCAAATAGTCATAAATAAAAACATGACAGCGAGACACGTCACAACTCTAGTAGGAACATGATTAATTTATTTTCTATGTAAAAATAATGAGTTCGCTAATATCCTTCATTAAGTAATTTTAAGATATTTTATCCTATTATATCCCGTACTCGCCCTACTGTTGCTAGGTCGTTGACACAATTGTTTATAAAAAAAATACAATAGTTTTATTTCATGATGTAGGCTAAAGACAGGAGATTGCGGAGTTTGTAGTTACTGTGATCGTATTAAACAATGGACCGTTAATACCGGCGACTATTGATTGTTTTATCTACTTACCCGTCCAAGATGTTTTGATGAGTAAACACAACAGATGACGCTCGTTATCAGTCAGTTGTAGACTGAGCACTAACCAAGATCGTTGAACAGATAAGTGACAGTAACTTGGAGTTTTTATTATAAATTTTCACGCAAACTATTCATTATACCTTATTCGCGTTAACGTCCAGCGTAAGACTTGAGTTTTCCTGTCGTCTTTATCTTATCTGTCGCCGTAATCTATAGGTGTAGGTAGGTTTTACGAGAAATTGTTACGAACACAACGTACGCGTCACCCAACGTAAAAATGGAAAATACAACATATGACGAGAGCTATTGACCCTGAATACAAGATCGAGAAAAAAGTGTAGTAACCCGATAATGGTTACCCTTAACGTGTAATACGAGAGCGGTAACCTCGAAAATTGACAGAACAATTCAAAACCGATTTAAACATTTCTGAATGAAACATGACGGAAAAAACAATGATAGCTTTTAAATTTATTTAGATGTAAATCATGTAAAGCTATTTTCCATCAACTGGTGCTTGAATCCTCGATCGTCAAACTTCCATTTTTATATGTATATAGGCAACGCAGATTGGTTGCCATCAAAGGACCATCGTTTGCTGTCTTATAGCTTAGGAAACGCATTATAATAAAATCTGTAAGCATCCTTGCAGAAGTTCATTCATTAGTAAATGTTCTACTGTTAAAAATGTTAAAATTATTGAATAAATACAAATTGACGGAGTATCCCATCTACCTATAACATAACAAACAGGATAATAATACCCTTGCTTTGTGAATAGGTGTATTTTCCTAGAAGTAAATAATGCTGTAAATTGTCGTCAAAGACAAGGAAATGCATTTAAAAACTAAAGTCCTAACACGAAGCGATGATACTTAACATTTTTGTTTGATTTGTATTATAAATGCGTAACTCATAATCTCAGTACAAGTTAATGACATTGTAAACATTATTTTATCTTCACTTTTACTGTTAGCGTTATTCAATAACAAATATTTATTTATTTATTAGATTTAAAAGTTATCATTGTAGTAGAATAGGATCTTAAAATTATTGGGAATTAAGTTGTCGCGAACAATCAGTGTCTTCAATGTTTTATATTTGAGATAGGATTTGTGATCAATCCTGCGTTTTTCATACAGCAATCTGCATAAAGAGCCCGCAAGTGCCTAGTGTTAGAAATATTTCTCTATATTACATCCATACGAAATGACTAGGTATAAAAATATTTTGGATGCATCAAATATTTGTTCTAAAAGTGTACTGGAATGAATCAGAAACAGTTCAACTGTCAGAGAGGTGAATTGCTTTTATTTCAAAAATAAATAAAGGAATTTATTCAGAGTATTTTACCATACATTTTTCTATTATTGTTTAAAATGATAGATTAGAAGTTAATGTATGTATTCTAAATTATAAAAAAAAACACTGTAAACTTCATGTATTTAGGAGGTAGATTATTTGATTAGGAATGTCGGTGATTTATGTTTTATATTGATTGCAATAGTTCGTCCTATCCCAAGGTAGACTGGGAGAGAATGTCAGTCTATTTAATTGCTTTTATATGCTATGAAGTTAATGAGCTAGTAAGTAAATACTGGTATTTAAATTATATTTTAACAACTTCCGATGTTTTTTCTTTATAACGCCAAGGCGAGTACATTACCTCAAACTGCCTTGCATTAAACAATAATTAAATGAAATTCTAGACATGATATAATACTAGTTTGGTACAAAATGTAGCGCAATGACGTAGCAAATATTTATAAGTACGTATAGCAGTACTGACCTTGATTTCGCCTTGCCCTTCGGCGCAGCACGCTTGCAGATCCTTCAGTAGCAGCTGGTATTTGGTGATACGCTGCACTGGCTTGATCAGGTAAGCAGCCAACGGGTGCTCCAGCTTCTTCTTGCGTTGCACCCTGCACCACACACAATCAATAAACTAATGTACTGACGCAGCCCGAACGAAATAACCATTATCTACATTGCTTCGTTAATGATTTTGATAACAAATTCTTCTAGCAACGGAACTATTGTCACTGAGTACACAACGTCCCTACATCTAAGCGTCCAGTAACAACGAACGAAAACTAACATTTGTGCGTTCAAAGAACGAATGCTGATGACGACTGTTAAAACGATAAGTGCCTATTGTTCGGGACGCTACTGTTTCTATGGAGCAGCTCTTTAAAAGGGTGATAAGATGATAACAAACCATATAATGGTCAGGTCTTTATATCTATGGCCAGTTGTAAATAAATTATGAATCTCTCCGTCGGAATGTTCGGCTTTTCTATACTATGTAGATAGGTTCCGTGCGCTGCGTCTTGCATCTCAAAATAACAAGTCTCAATTGTATCGATAAGAGAGCTAAATGTGAACTAGTTTATCAGCCGCTACAAATGTACTTAATTACATGTGACTGCAGACAATATCTAATTTTAATTGCAAACGAAAATTTAGTTTCAACACATAAGTGTTCACTTATATCTTTTACTCATTGAGGAAAGTAGTCAGTATAAAGGATGACATTTTATTAAAAAATATGAGGCCCATATTATAGTCCAACAGTCTAAAGATGATGATGATAGAAAGAGAGAGTAGAGATTTAGGGATTGAGGAGGGATTGGGGGAGGGGAAGGATTGGGATCCGGTAACCCCACTCACACGGCGAAACACAACGCTGTGGTTGTTTCACGCCGGTTTTCTGTGAGGCCGTGGTATCACTCCGGTCTCTCTCTCTCTCTCTCTCTCTCTCTCTCCCACACTTAATACTAATTAGATAATTAGAATATAGATACAAATAGCAACACCTGCATCTATCAACTTATGAGATTCGTTTATTAAGCACCTAATTATTCGACCGCAACTAATACTCTTGACCTTAATCTGTACTGATATTATAAAACTAAAGTATGGTTGTTCACTTGTTCAAATTATTTATTCGAATTTTTTGTGTTGGATATTCATATGTCGAGATAGGCTATATTCTACTAAAACAATAGGAACCGAGCAGCCAGCTCTAAATAATTGGAAGGCATTATAAACTTATAGCATATGAACTATACTACTTAATTACAAACTAGTGACCCACCCAGTCTTCGCAATGCTGCTACTAAATTCCTACACTATTTAAAGAATTTTATTAAACAAAATGTGCATCAAAATCTGTTTGTAGTTTTAAAGATTTAAGCATACATTGGGATTTAGGACTAGAGGCAGCCACTTTGTGTTATACTATGTAAGTAGTGATAAAACAAGTTGCTCACAGCAATCTAAGTTTCGGCTATGAACTAAACAGCTGTGTTGAAAATGTTATGTAATAATAATTAATGTCACAAGTTCCTTACCTCTCAAAGTAGTCTCCAGCGTGTTGCACGACGGCGGCGTTACTATCGGGTTTGTTGCGGCAGTACGACACATACATGTCGAACTCCCGCGCCCACGTCACGAAGCAATGGCCGACGTCTTCGGGCATCGTCTCGTACTTGTCCAGCTCGCGGAGGAATACCCGCTCGTGGAAGCGGTGGATCTCCTCAATGTTGCCGAATATTATTTCCTCCTGTACGGAAATAATACGTGTATAACTGTATAATATTGGTGCTTTTTAATAAATTATGCTGTCGGATACGCAGTGACTAGGCAACTGGCTGCTGTTCAACGTGTTACATGTTCGATTTCCATACGGAACAACACGATTTGTGATCCCCAAATTGTGGTTTGGGGTTTTATGTTTCTTAACGCAACCACGACAGTGAAGAAAATCTAAATGTAGATTTAGTATGTAAGAAAAAGGAAAAGAATTTAGTATTTAATTCGGTAATGTTTTGTTGGCAGATCGAAATAAATAATGTTAATTTCTCAGTGTATGGGACCCACCTTCCCCTGCAGTGCTTGTGGCACGGCGCCCGGGTCTGTGCGCATTTCCCGCAAGTAGCACGTGATGCACGTCTCCAGATCTTTCACATACGCACGCTCCGTCTGCAGTAACTCCGCCATTATGAACCTATGTGAATGTCAATTCCATTATAATAGTAGTCAAATAATACTATCAAATATAAATATGAAGCTTACTGCATAATAAAGTTAATTATGTGAATATTTAAATAAAGACTCGTACTCTTTGCGTCTAGCGCTGCGTCGTTTGTCATCACCAACCGCAGTGGGTTGCGGCTCTGCGCGTGCGTCGTTTTCCGCAGATTGAGATGACGCTAGGGAAGGAGCCACGCCCGAATCACTTTCTGGTTCACTTTCACCTTCTTCCATAGAACCGCTAAACTCTGCATATCTGGACATAATAAACAACAAGACTAAATCATTATAGATCTAATTAAATGACACAGTTCGATAAAATTGGCAAGATTCATCAAGTATCCGTCCAAACGTTCTATCAATAAAAGTAATGAAAGTGAAATTGTGTCACGAGTTGACGCTTGGCCAAATATGAGAGATACATAGGTATACGATGTAGTAATAGTTTGGGCAGTAGTTACCTGGCATCGACGGCGGCAACCCACTCCTTGATCTGTACGGCATGTGGGTGTCCCTTCTCGACGAGTCCGTCGGCTAGCTGCGCAAGCAGACGCACGCGCTCCCGGGACTCGCGCGCGACTCCGCCCGCCGCCGCCGCGGCCGCCGCCCCGCATCGCTCCTGCGTCTCCTTGATCCATTCCACTGCGGCGCGCGCTGACCGCTCAAACAAAGCGAACTGCTGACACTGCTCTAAACGCTTCTTACGCACTGTCCAGTGTTCCAGAACCTGTCAAAAATTAACGAGATTGTAATAAGACTTTATCACTATGTGACCTACTAATCGTTACAGGTGTAAAAAGAAGCGATTGGCGAAACTAAAACACGTAACAGCACTTCGGATCATAAGTCCTTCAGTAGTCGTGTGATCGCCATGACTTCCTGGTTCTACACACTTGAATATATTTGGATGTGATTAAATATACCGGTTGTATGATCACCATAACAAAACTCTTTATCATGTTCACGCAGCGCGCGCGCTTGAACTAGACACATGGCATATGAGAGCGGGCGGCCGGCGCTTCATGTTAGCTGCCCTCGAGATACCATCGCACGCCATACAATAAAAACCTCATTGTTTCCACGTCCATTCTAACGCGACGACACTGACACCAGCAATGCCACATCATTAATATTAACCTACCTGAAAACTTGTACGTTTTGCATAAATATTGTTATTATTGACATAATTGAAAAGGGTAAACAAACAAACAAATCGAAATCGTAGCAAAGGAAGCATATTCGTGTTGAATAAAGCAATGCTATGAAAACCGTCCGATTGATATCTCTGAAGGATTTCTATTCAGTGTTATTTTTACACTTCCTGTGAACAATGTGATTCTATAAACCTGTCCTGCCCGCAAAGTACCGCAAAAGTGCTATTTTTATAAATTGTTAACGACAAAACCGTTGACCGAACTTTAATAACAGTGGCAGACAATATTCATTGCACGCTCTTGTAAGTTTTGTAGAGGTATAATTACTGTTAATCAATTATTAGTTAGCTGCGACTCTTCGTTGTTGCTTGTATTAAAACTAGTAATTGTTTTTTTTATTGTGCGGAAGGAAAAACTAAATTAAGTGCCAGTAGAATCACGCAAATTTCTACACATTAAAGCGTGCAGTAAATGTGTCACTTTTATGTCTGTTGCATTTTAGCGTGTCTGGATAAATGGATTAGTGTGGTCGACGGCACTTGTTGTGATACAAAATTGATTGTATATCAAAGCATTCCTAGACACAATTATGCAAAACAATCAATGTAAGATGTATTGAATTTTTACGAACTAGTGTACAAGCAAGGCTGTTATCGTGGTGGCCTAGAGGTAAAGGCACCTGCTTCTCATACATGAGGGTGTGGTTTCGATACCTGGCAAGCACCAATATGACTTTTTCCGAGTTATATGTACTTTCTACGATTGTTTGTTAAGACACCACAGACATACGGTGAAGGGAACCTGGTCTTATAATTTCTAATGATACAGTTTGAAATCGTCAATCCACCTTGTGCAAGCGTGCACGTAATGCTCAAACCTTTTCCGTGTGAGAAGAGGCTTTTGCTCAGCGGTGGGCACTTATACGATGATGATGTGTAATTTAAGCTGTTGTAATATTTCTTGGAAACTATCGATTTTCCATGGTGTCCCTAAGGCGATCATAACACTATGCAGAAATAATTATGTAAGTGTGTCAAAGACATTGGTAGCGTTGGCCTACTATCGAGTCATTAAAAGTTCAGAAGACCTTCAGTTGTAAGGCTAGACTAGTCTAATATTTATGTGACAAGTTTGTACTGAATTTAAACGTTGAAGGGTAGAGAGAGGTGAAGGGTGGAGCATGGTAGAGGACACTAAGAAATGGTATGATGTAGATTAACTAGTGTCATAAGCCTTAACTAAGCTATTTTCTTTGGAAACTATGTAATTAAAACTCCATTTTAATGGGAACATTTTATATTCTGAACGGTTACTACTTTGGGACGCAAATAATTCTATGATAGGAAGACGAATAGGAGAGCAAAGAAAAAATACATTAGTTGAATCGTGAGCCGTTTGTATTAAGAAATGGAAGAAGTGAAGGATAATATTATACATGTCCAATATGTAAAAACAAAATACCAGTTATTGAGTCGTAGGACCACAAAATAGTGTTCAGAATATCATTACAAAATACTGCTCAGAATATTATTACAAAACAGTGCTTGTTAGCAAGTTTTGAAATTGCATTATTAACTTACTTATTTATGAGAAATTAGAAAAATACGAATATTAAATAAACCAGTTAATTGGTGCATTTTTGTTGTAACTACTTTGAAAAGAATTATTTTAGTATTTTAATACACATTAAATTTTACGTGTGGTCTACCGTGTGTTTGCAAAATTTTGACACTTAACTTAAAATTAAACTTAAAATGCTAATGCCTCTTGAATCAAAAGCCTCTTCGTTCCTGGGACTTCCCAGGTACGAGGAGAGAGAGAGATCACCCGGTATCACTAGAACAGCAACAGCACAAAACTAAGTAACTCCTTACCTTATTCTCTTGCGCCAGCAGCGTATCAAGTATGGCCCTGGTTTGTTCATGATGAGCTTTGCTGGCGGCGGCGGTCTGGCCGTGTACTTGGGCAGATCTCGCCGCGTATTTGAGGAATGTCTCAGCGGTACGTCGAGCCAGCGTGCATGCCTTCAAGAACGCCTCCTTCTGCTCACCGTGCTTCACTATTAATGCAGCCACCTGGAAGAAACCCAAGTATATTAGCAATTCACTGGTTACAAATATATTTTAAAGAACTGCTTTTGCCATTGACTTTGTAGGGAAAAATCTTAATTAGTTTTCCCACAAAATTAAAAGCAATTTTGTACCATGTGTTCTACGTGGACGATAGAAATTTTGCCGTCAGAAAGGCCAATCATAAATATTGAAGAACCACACTCACGGTGACTTATAATAAAAAATTGTGATCCGAATTAACGGTTATCATCCCTCCTGTTAACTGGATAACGTATTTGTAAATACAAAATAATAAGAGCAGCCAGTCTATAAATCTGCAACGCGATATAAATCAAAATTTGAAACATTTTGAAAAACAAATGGTACTTTCTATTTAAGATTTAATTTTACAAACAGATCGGATTAATTGTAAACGACAATCGGGCCCGAGCCGGGTGAAATGCGCGACAATTGTGGCATTTATAACATAATAATCGATACAATGACGTAAATCTTTAGCTATGCAAGTGGCCGTGGATGGGTAGAAATGGAAGATGAAACTGAATAAGGGATATTTGTTAAATAGCAGTGTTCACCTGTGCGGCTTTGTCGATGTTTAGCTGGAGTGTCTGTTCATCAGCGGGCGGCGCTGCTGCGGAGCCGCACCAGTCCTCGTCGCGACGGTACTCCCGCTCCAGAGAGTCCAGAACCGAGCACACCTGCTCGGCTGTCTTGTAGAAATTGAGCGACGCAGTCACCAGCTTGTGACGCTCTTCTGCACATGTCACCAGTCTTTGCCACCTTTCAGTCACTTCTTCCGAAATTTCTCTGTAATAAAAATATGCAGTCTTTGGGTAGGGTGGCTACGTTCAGCTGCGGCTGATGTGGCAATGATGTATATAAAAATCGTTTTTGCAAAACATTCGTTTTTGAACATAGTTGCTTGCCTCAAACAGTCGTTCACACAGATTGGGGAGCCTATATGTGTTACGATTACGTCTCATTAGATAACATCTTAGTAAATTACAAGTCAGGTACCGTCAGACACTTGGAAATATCCGTCACGTTTAACAGCTGCAAAAGCTTCCACGATGCAATATTAATTGCACCAGACCTACAAATGGTCTGGAATAACTTATTAATTACATAAATTGTTGATTGGCCTTTTTATACCTTTGCATGTCTGACAACTGTCCTGTGCATTAACAAGTTGTACGAATGGGAATATTACGGCTTCTTATTATGTATGCAAGGATTAACGCTCAATATTTTTATGTTTTAAATACTTGGTGTGAGATTCAGTAAAGTTTTTAAACGTCTTCCAAAAAGAACGTAAACATGTGTTGTTTTTTTTTCAGTTTGTTCTTAAGCAGCTTTTCAAGGTCCTATTGTCACCAAAAAAACAGTGTCTGATCGTAGAAATATTTGGTAGAACTTTTGAAATGTGTAGGGTAACAGTATGTTTGTTCGTTTAGTACATTTTAAAGAACAACAACTTGTTGAACGCCTGGACTGACTAGATGGTGGAGCCAAAAGAGATTATAGACAATTCCTCGAGGGTTTATTTGTATAAATGAGAACTTTAAACCAATAGGGGGTGCGATTGTCCTTCGAGGTCGGGTGACTATCTGGTAGGAAAAATAAGGGAACTCCTTAAAAAATGATGACATTTTTATACTTATGTAAGATGTAACTAGCATAATGAATCTGAATTGTTTTATATCTGAAGGAAACTTTAAATAAAACCGTAATCTTAAAAGTAAAAAGACAAAAAAATGGTATTATTAATATGTAATGATCTGATCGGCAATCACATACCTATCAGATCAACCGATAGGTTAGAAGAGGGTTCTTTTGGTTGTAAACAAAATTATTCATTGTAACCCTAATAGGTAGGACTCTTTGTACACTACTTTTAAACTGAAAGGTAATGTAGTTTCCGTAGTTCTGCTGGTACTACATAACTACATAGTCGTATAAATTAAATATTAAATACTTTTTCAGTGTGTGTAAGTATATAAATTCTGAAAGGACATGTGGACCGTGCCAATATTTAAAATTTTAATATATTACAAACCACCACAAGGCACGGGTATAATTTATTCGTGGTTTACTACAACAATAAATATTACGATTTGAATTGTATAACTGATTGAAAAAGAGTTACCATGGAGTTTCTTGCTCGTTCTTCTTCAAAGGAATCTACACTTTGGAACGAGCAAATAGCTTCACTAGAGGATAGACGGACAGACCGACACGCTTATAGTTAAAGCTCTTGAAATACACCTTTTTTCCTATTTTTGCATGACGTTCAAAAGTGCTATGGTCTAATTGAAATAAATGATTTTGACTTTGACTTTGGCTTTGATTATGTATTTGCAATTATTGACGGCCCACATACACACTAGGAAAGCCAACCAGTCCTGGCAGATGCGAACTTGACATATGTTAGCAATTGGATCAACATGTTGTTGAAATCTGAACAATCTAACACACAGCGCCACCTATTGGAGAACATTTACATATGCATGACTCCTCGCCCCACGTGATAATTCATACATGTTGCAGCTTAAGAGGCTTAGAGATTCAGCAATAAAACCTCAACTTAGTAATCAATTTCCTGCTATATATAACATTATCATACCTATATCATCCTTATTACAATACTTTAAGTTAACAATTTGTTTCATTATCATTTACACCGTGCCACTAAACACTACTGAACACTTATAAATAAGAACTCTACACTGATTTAGTTTTGTTCAGAAGCTAAAAGTATTAAGTGAATTATAAGATCATGGTTTAAAAGTTTATAAAGACTTGTTAGACCTTTTCATGGTTTTTCACAGCAACCTAACAATACTGTCACTGATTAGATACCAGTATGGTACGACGTATAAAGAACAAGTTGCAAAAGTAACTTACCGAATAGTATGTGGGTCGTAGTGATTGGCGGCCCTCAGAGCATCAGCCCTGTACTTGACTTGCACGGCACTCGCATGAGTCTTCTCCACAGCCACTTGGAACTGGTCATGCTCCCTCTTCAGCTGCTCGGCCTCTGACAGCGTGCCGGGAATCGAGAACGAGGCGGCCAGCATCGCTTCTCCGTTTCGAATCCAACTAACCACCTGAGCTGCGTCCTTTTGGAATTGACCTGCAACAACACGGAACTTCCTCCATAACTGCACAAGACAAAACTGTGTTATTGCGCAAATATTCCTTAGCGACATTGCGATCATATCTAATTGTAGTAAAAGAAAGAATAACGGGCCGTGAATATTGTCTACGCACAATTCTATTGTCTTATTTTATACCATTCTCGGATGAACATATGCTGACTTAGACTTCCTACAATTTTGCTCACTAGCTTGCATCATTTGACGAGATATACGACACCTTTGATGTGTTTGTGTGTGAAGCTAGTAAGCAATATGAATATACTTTTCTACTTAATCAAGTTGCATACTGTTATTAGATCCTATATACGCATACGTACATATATAACAATGTAGTCTACTTAGTGAAACTGTTGATTCTTTTTCCATTAGTTCCCAGAGTAGCATAGAAAAATGTTAAGTCAACCAAAAGTTTTACAGCTTTAGAGAAAGATTTCTGGAATTTATATTAAGAGTTATGGCTTGAATAATATATCTACTTATCTGTACCTGCTTGTTCTAGTGGTGGAGACAAAATATGAAAAGCACTGATAGTGCTGTGGCGTAAAATCCAAAATAATTGATCCATTGCGCAAAAAACTACTAACACTTGTCCTCTGCTTAATAAACACTAACCTAAAAGTATGTTTACTGTGGCCCTTAGTTTCCTTGTACCTATGAGTTATACAGCATTATACAATAATATTAATAGATAAATAATCTTTATTTTACCTAGTGCATTGCATCTATTTTGCTCAGTTATTGAATCTATATATAGCACTTCCGGTGTTTATGAATTGTCATTTTACTACCGTGAAACTCATGCCCGAAGCAAATAGGTTCTTAATGGGAACCATTTCGACACATTTTCAGGACCCTATATGAAAACCTCTGGATAAAATTAGAGCACTGTATTTCTTATCATCTATATTCTATAAAGTTATAATTATGATCATTTTAATTCCGAAGCTAAGCGAAATCAAAATTTTGTCATTCATTTTATTCCAATACGCAATGTCTTAATTATGTTACTGCTCTTAGCCTTCAAACGTCCAGTTCTGGATAAACGCCTCCTTCTTGCTTTAAAAAGCTTTATTCATAGGACCTTTTGTAGTTCAGCATGCTATGGCTATTTACTACTAACCAGATAATATAAAAGGAAAATTTTATTTGATAGGTTGCGAGGCCGTTGAACAAGAATTGTGTATCAAAAATTAGATTAAAATCACAAGTCTATTTGGATTCCTGCTAAAAGGCGTGACTTCCAACCAGAAATATTCAATAGACATCTAGACAAATCTCGATATCACAAAAAAGTAATTAAATCTGTAGATAAAGACTTCTTTAGTAAAATTTTATGTAACTGACCTTTGAAAATTCATTACACGTTAGCGGGTACAAGTCAACAGTCAAGTTACACAAAATTAACAATGACAACATAGAAATCAGACTTGATCATAAGTGTATTGTTGGGTGAACAATTGCAGCATACCGAATGTATGGAAAAGATATATGCGTACCAAAAGAACGGATGCATTTATCATTATAAGTCAGCAATCTACTATTTCAAATTGAAATTCGCACATTAATGACAATAAGTCATTGATGATTGTTACCGAACTATTGACCCGCTTATTATTATTATTTAAATTACTTGATTTTAATCTCAAATGTTCTGTACCTAGTGATTCTATCAACAGTATAGCGCTAAAAATGTGCTACTGCATTTCCAACTCAGTATTCAGGTAAACGGAGCCATTTTCTCACCCAATTGGACGCACTGCTCGAAACGAGCGCGTCTCTCCTCAGCCAGCTCTTCTAAGTCAAGTTGCCGGTCGTGTAAGAACTCCAATAGCAGCTGCACGCGCGCCTGCGCATCGAGGGGAGCTGCTTCAGATCCGTCCGAGCCGCTCGAGGCCATTACATCAGAAGCGTCTGCGATAGCCGCCGCAAGCTCTTGACCTTGCTGAACCACCTGGATTTCAGAAGAACATTATTAAATCATTAATAAAATTGAAATTAAAGATAGCTTGAATTTCTAATATTTCTGTATTTTATCTATTTGAGTACCTGAAAGGTGGCATGTTGCATTCTAGCCACACTCTCATTGTGTGCAGCCAATGCCTGCTCAGCTTGTTGAGGGTCCCGAGGAGGTTCCGTCCTCTGGAGCTCGTCGCCCCAGAGCTCCAGTCGTGACGACACCTGAAAACAGCGCGAAAAGAGTCAACATCTGTGTAACACCACCGAGCCTAAAAATAATGTATATAGCATATAAAAATAAATCGTAAAATTTGTTGGTAAGCTCATAACTCAACAATGCCTGGATCAATTTTGCTTATTCTTTTTTTTGTATTTCGTTGTATTTATAAATGTCAGAAGGTTCTTATCAAAAAATTTAAGAATAGTAGAGGGGATAATTTTGCAATAGGAGCTAGGCGGCCCGCTAGTTGTTTACATTTTCAGACATAAGAATCTCAATCACATTGAACTGCTCAGTTGTATTTAAAGCTATTAACCTGAAGTAAGTAATCATATTTATCTTCCTGGCCTCTATTCATTATTTTTATAAAATATAATTTAATTATATAGTATAAATGCTGTTTCACAATGTAAAAAGGCAATCTATAAACACAGGCTTAGTCGCCATACCCAGTACTTTAGTTAAGGTTCAACCAGTTACTATTTTTTAAATATAAGGTCATGGGCACTTTACACATAAGGAGCCCGTTCGAAAGGTTTACAACCTTTTGATTAGGTTTTTACTCGTTATACGAGTACATGTGCGTGCATTGTCTTCACTTATATGTATGTATGATGTAAGCACTAGCACGTCTATTGTTTGGTTGCCACTCGTGTTTATCATGTACGGGACAGGTAGAATATTCCATTATTGGCGAAAAAATTGCGCGTTATTATTAAGCTCAAGTTATTATTAGGGTGCCTTATCAGTATATCGATATAATCGCGATATTACAGCTACGTTTGTTTACATAAATACTTATTTTATGAATCCATTGTGTTACAGCTTGATTGGTGGTGAATAATAAGCAGTTGCAGTAGGGGAAACTAAACGCATCGTGGTGCAATTGATGGCGAGGCATTGTTATGATGAACTATGTTCAAGTTCTTATCACAGCCCTTCCCGGGCGCGTGGAAACCGATGGCAATCAGAGTTTCAATTGTACAGCGTCTGTCGTGCCGTGTACTAGCCTGGACTGATGTCATTGGATCGATGCCAATAATCCAGGGCCGCAGTACGCATTTTTATGCATCTTAAATGAATTTCGGACGAAATATTGACATATGAATATTCGAATTATGTTCAGTATCTGGCTCCTATTCAACTACATAGGGCTATGAAAGCTGTTGAGTGTATTATACAAACTGGTATTTAGTTAACTTAGATGTATGCGAGTATTTAATGAGACCGTTACCCGATGCGGTTAGTGAATACTTCAAAAATAACTCCTTCTAATTGATAGCTCGAAAGTTATGACTGGTCTTCGATATCGACATGTTTGGAGAAAAAGCGAATAATCTATTAAGTTATTTATCACATTATCCTGAGTAATAAAGTATTTCAAGGCCATTTTACTTTTTGTATGTTGTGCCGATTGTAACAACACAACTGTCACCCCTGTTCGATACGGGCGGCGGGGGATCGTGTCCACTCTAAATTGACCCTCCCCTTAATCCGTCAAAACCAAATGCATTTATTAAATGAGATACTTTATTAAAAGAGCTATGAAACAATTGAAGTGCTACACAAAAGCTTACTAATCCGGATTCATTTTATTAATTGGACTTCAATCGGGTTTGGTGCAGCGCATGAAGTGTACCTGTGCAATTTTATACTACCTACGAGGGATGAAGAGCATTTCTTGCGCAATCGATGGCTGTATAATCCAACACACGGTGTGCTTCACAAACTTTTAACGAGTTTTCATCATAATAAAGTCGTAAAGTTACGTTACACTTTCAAATAGGGTTTTTATAATGGTGATGGTTGCAGATTTTTTAACAAACTTTGCACTTAGCCAATGTGGTTAGTTCAGCATTAGTTACAAATTTCATTCTATTTTCGAAATTGTCTGCTAGTCAGCAATAAGCAGACTGCTTCATGAAATCTCGGTTGCCTGTTAATTTTTACTCACTTCTAATGCGTCCCTTTCGAAATGCCTAAGCTGTAGCGTGAGTTCGAGTCTTCTTTCACGGTCAGACCAGAGCTCTTCAAGAGCTCCTCGAGTGCCTCTAAGTCGTTCCAAGGTCGTCTCTACAGCAGCAGTGCTTGCCGCATCCGAATCGCCCGATGATCTGTAACAAATAAAAAAAGTAAATAAATAGAACTAAAGGATACGAAACATTCTAGATTTAAATTGCAAATTTACGGATACGGCTAAAATAATTTCTGTTGATCGTAATTACTTAAGTATTTGCTAAGTAAAACTTAAAGAATGCATTAGAACACAATGTCCAATTCTTTTTTCATAGATATGGTCCACAAACGACTAAATGGACTGATGGCTAATGGTGAGCAATCAGCGCCGCCCATGGACACCCGCATCACCAAAGAAATTACAAGACCGTTGGCGGCCTTTTGTAGTTTGTTTTAAATTTGGTTCAATATGCCTGTTTGTAAAAAAAGGCCGTGGTATCAGTTCGGTTAGCCATCTGGCGAAGTATGATTCTTCCACCCTAATAACCATATAATAATAATAATTAAGAATCAACAACAATTATATCAATAACAACGTATCTGTTACACTTGACAGGTAAGGAACAACGTTATATAACATTCCAGGTTGAGTGACGTACAAGAGGTAATTACCGACACAATTAGCTGCAAATAATAAACAAGCGCATTGTGACGGTATCATTGCACTGCGTGAAAATCTTGATTGTTGACACGACAATATCGTGTGTAATACGTGCAAGAGTTCATCTCAATGGGCAACTTCCTCTGAAAATGATGTAATCCTTTTATTTCCGAGCGAACTAAAGAAAAGAGGAACCGAGAAGCATACGGAAATTAACTTTCAATAAGTTCCTTTGACAGTTCGTTTTGATTGAAAGCTGTGCGAAGTCACTCTAAGACGGTTACATTTACTTCCAATTATATATCCGACTTAGCGAAAAACAGTTGGTAAGATGTAGGTTTCTATTTCCCTTTATGAATCAGTGTTTAGTACTTGTGCTGGGTCATGGGTACCAACGCCTCGTTGGTGCTTTCAAGGCAAACCACAAATAAATCACCTTAGTATTCCAGTTTCGTGGATTAGTTCGTTTATTACTCAATTATAATTGTCAAGACTTTGCTAAAGTTTATATTGGTAACAATAATAAAATAAGTAGGCTTTAAGTATACCAAAATAGTCGGACATTCAGAGTAAAAACCGAATTTTTTTGCAATACCAATCGGACCCTAGACCATATAAAGTTAATTCAATTTCCACTGCAGGCTGTCAATTTTTATTAGCATACAAACCAACTATGTCAAGATGAAGGAACTTGCATCAATACTGCCCTCCAAGCCCGGATACATAAGACATCGAGGACTGTATCCCCCTCATCTCAAGTACTCTTTCAATTTAAGGTCCGTTCCAACGACAGAAACCTATTTAAGTATACATGGTAAGGGTACTCAGATCACTTGAGACGCGAATGTGTACAAGATCTCTTGACCAATGGACTATTTCCTAGCGAATGGTCATTCAACTTTTGATACCTAGCTATAGGTACTGCACAATAACAAGGTGTCGAGTTTCTGTAGCCATAAATTTTTCTGTAAAGCGGTGTACCAAAATTGAGAGACCTCCGCAATAGGAAGCGACCCTCACAATACCCTCTTAAAAGACTTTTAACACTATCCCATTTTTTACTATGTTGAAAATTTAGGCTCAAGTCTAATAAATAGTCGATTAAGTATCCGGATATCAAACCCGAGACTACGATCGTGGACCAACGAAGTAGTCCAATGGCTGCTTTATTACAGTATCATTACTAAGAAATATATTTTTACGCGGCAACTAGTGACAAGAGAAAATTCCCAGTAAATATATAGTGTCTGCCAATTAAGAGATTTCCAACACTAAGCTATAAATATTGCTAAGACAACAGTAATTGAGAAAAACAATATTTGAAGCACAATATTAACTTGTCTTCATAAATCATGTTTCTTTAATTAATAATTATTATTGGTCCGTGTACAAATATTTTGATCTGATCTATATTATTATATATATTCTATATTTATAGAAAAAAGGAAGCCAAGTGTTTGTTGGATTACTACACGAAAAGAAAAGACCTCAAATGACTTTAAAAATTACATAAATTTAAAAATACCTTTACTAAAAACAGGAAGCGTCTCCTCACAAGTAAATTAAACTGTGCCTGGGAACTTTAAAACAATAAATACTAATACGACTGTAGTTATATGTTCGGTATGTGTTATATATACGGCGTACAGCGACATGTTTACGATTCGTTGAGAAGTTGTTATTATTTGTTCAGATATGTAATACTCAACGTTAATTGGTATCACGTTCACATCAAATGAGGATATAAACATAAAGGCGATTTCGGAAATTCCTAATGATGTATGCAGCAAGTTGGCATTATGCTAGACGCCATTTCACCATTAAAAGCATAATAATTATACACGTCTCAGTACTATATGAGCTTTATTACTTCAGCCATTATTTCGTTGAACTGTTGCATTGAGAGCGCTCAAGGGGTAACTTTTCCTTCCGTTCACAATAATAGAGCCCGTTACTCTTTTAAAACTAGTATGGAAGCTGAGTTGTACCATCATAGTAACTATGAATATAGAGCGGTAAGAATAGTTATGAAATTGAAAAACAGCCTTAAAATGAGGTAAGAACATTGACAGAGACTCGATTTCTTTCACTATAACATTCTCGCTCGGTTTCCAGGGTAAAAGTAAAATCGCTATTATAAACACGCACTGATCCATTGCCATAAAAAGTATTTATGACGAAGAAAAGAAAGTGAAATAACCTTGAATTTTAAATGATTAAATATAAAAATTATATCATACCTCCATCGTAAACATTGGACCGGTGATTTATGCCTGTGAGATCGCCGATGATATTTGAGCATTTTGCACAAAAATGTTCATTTCACCGGCGCAATCAGATACGATAACGTTAACCGTCGCTAATCGTCGTAGAAATCACTGCACTGACACTGCGAATACTAATTGCCAGCATTTAAATTAACAGTTATATTTTAAGCACGTAAGAAGGTTGTTATGGGTAGTAATTACTTGAGCATAGTTATTAAAACCAGACGGTGACCTACAATGCGTGTGCGCCTACTGTTATGTTACGGTTGGATAGTAAATTTCTTACAACGATCTGCTTCTCCTGGACGTTATCTCACAATACATTCAATAGCTGTGATTCAAACCCGCGCACTATTGAAAACTGATTATTGTATTTATAAATACATTACGTAATAATTGTGAATAAAATTCTTAAAGAGATTATAATGGTGGCATTATAAATATAAGACAAAAAGATATTATCCCAAGCATTGTGTAAACACGTTTGGAATGTGGGAGAAACACCTCAACGCCAAGTTAATTGCAAGTCAACTTTAAGTATGTGTCAGCGTCGCCGTGTCGGATACAAAATACATGTAAAACGGATGGGACACTAACCCTAGAGTGCACGCGCTATGAGCACTCTGCCGCCTAACACATCGCAAAAATCGGTGCATAGGTCAAGGTCGAGCGTCCGACAGCCACTTGTTCCTCAGGTCGCTATCCCACTAGGCGTTCTACCAGCGCAGAAGCGACGTTGACGTCGCATTCAGCGAACGTTAAAGCTTGCCACACGACGACGCGGCGTTAAGGTTGCGTCGAGCAAATGCGACGTTGACGTGAAGTAGTAGCTAGTAAAACGCCTAGTGGGATAGCGACCTCACTGTTTTGAAGAAAGGGTGCAACTGTGCGCGAGATTCAATAACATCGAATCCAATATAAACATATTATGTTTTCAACATAATTAAATTATTGCAACATTATAACCCAGTAATAACAGTAAAATACGCACAAAATGTAGGTACGAAGACCAGAAAGATTTTAACAAAATCTACAATCGAAAGCTCAAAGAATTTCATTGTCTTATGGCTGGCACTTTGGCAATAAAAGCTTTGCTAAAAACAAAAACATTCTGATGGATTAAACTTTAAAAACATTACAATTATGTGAATAAAACAAAAATATGAAAATTGAAAAAAGATTTTATAAAAAAAAATCCTTAGTTTCGATTGACGGAAACGACCCGTAACGAACATAGACTACCTCTCTGATAAATATTAGGACCATTTAAAATATAAACCTCTTCAATACACTCGCCGTTTCTAGGTATTTATACGAAGAAGCCCTTAATAAAATTAAGAATAAAAATAGGCAGAAGCATAGTACTAGACATGACCTAGTACTAGACATGGCTTATGCTTTGGTATTACACATTCTAAATTGTTGTCGTACAAGTTCAATTTGGAATACTGTTAAACATGATATTCGGAATAGTTATAGAACCCCTTTTATAACTTTTAGGCTGCTCTTGAACGGTTATAAAAACTATCTTGGTATATTGTTTCATTTATTTTATGAATGTTACCTACATGATAAGATAAAACTTTATTAAAATTATTAAACATAACCACAGATCAATTAAACCAACAGCTATCGCACCTACTATGCTGGTCTGTATCACCTTAAGGTAGACTGGAAGAAAATGCCTAGGGCAATAAATCCGCCTTTGTACGAGTTTGTGCAAAGTGTTTAAGTAAAAAATAAATAACAATCTTTAATTAGAGCTATTTACTGAAAGTAAACTACTCGATATGGGCAGCAAAATGCTCTCTACGCGATCACTCGCGTTTCATGGAAAGACGCTTCAACTCTAGGGTTAACATTCGCAACTATAAATAACTATGTTAAAGCTGAAGAACAACGTGTTTTACTAATAGATCCTTCGCAAAGGTGCTAAACAATTGTCTGCAATGTAACAATTATACCGAATCAATTTTAGAACACGTACACAGTAAAAGAGTAGTCCATAAAAGAGTTGTTATGTGTTATTAGGAGACAATGCTTGAAGTTATTTCCACAAACTGCATTGAATAATTAAGTTATTACAAAGATAAAGAAATAATTCTGTCAACACGTGAAACCGAAGTTGGTAGAGCCATTCATTTACGCGCTGGTGTTATTAAAGTAGTTTTATAATGAGTCTTGATTCGCAGGTACCTCCAGAGGGACGCAAGTTTCGCAAGGCGAGCGG